CATCCATGCCAGTCTTCTTCCCTGCCAACCCATTTTGGAGCTTGGGGAGAGCCTGCTCCTATGCCTTTAAGACTTCCTTCTTGAAGAGCAACCAGCCATCTTGGACCCCTTTACTCTCTAAGACTGAATCCCAGGGAACTCTCCCTACTAGTCTCCTGAATAATTCAAAATCCGCCCTTTGGAAGTCCAAGTAGCAGTTTTGCTGCTCCCCCTCCTGCCTCCACCGAGCATCAACAACTCTACCATTTCATGGTCACTCTGTCCACGACTGCCCCCGACCACATCTCCCACCAGACCTTCTCTGTTTGTGAACAGCAGGTCAAGCGGGGCAGCTCCTCTCGTAAACTCTCTCACCAGCTGCATCAGAAAGCTATCTTCCATACACTCCAGAAACCTCCTAGACTTCTTCTTCTGCACTATGTTATATTCCCAGCATATGTCGGGGAAGTTGAAGTCCCCCATGAGGACAAGGGCTGGTGATTGTGCAGCTTCCACCAGCTGCTCATAGAACTCCTCATCTGTCTCTTCATCCTGGTTTGGTGGTCACCCAAGAGGAGCATACACCCACCAAGATGTCTGCCTTGTCAGCCCTTCCCCTGATCTTTACCCATAGGAATTCAAACTTATCATCCCCATCTATGAGCTCAATTACATCGAAGCACTAACATAGAGATCCATGCCACCACCCCTCCTTCCTTGCCCATCCTTCCTGAAGAGTTTGTAGCCATCCATTGCAGCACTCCCGTCATGTTTCTGCAGTGGCAACTAGATCATAGTTTGCCTGCTACACAGTGGCTTCCAACTCTACTTGTTTGTTGCCCATGCTGCATGCATTGGTGTAGGTGCACTTCAGCTGATCCCCTTGTCTCACCCCTAATCCCATTACCGCTCCCCCATGCTCATCTCTAGTGGGCCTGGTTTTAACATGCTTTCTCTTTTTAAATGACATAGTTAAGGCTTGATAATAAGTGCTTTCACTGCCATCTCCTACACTCCCACTGGTGTACAGCTGGGCACTCTGCTGGAGGGCCTCTAGCTGACACTGTTCACCAGCACTGGACTGGATACCCAGTTCCCCTGAGCCTGCATGGCGAGGAGTTCCTGGGCAAGATAGGGCCACATCTTGCTTTTGTGAGCTCTCTCATATGGATCTGGTGAGGTTACAAAAATACTGCTGTGTACTGCACGAACAGCTACCAGAAGTCACAGCACTTTTAAAAACTGCCAAATACAGTCCCTGTTTACACCAGATTCTGTGTGGTCCTGTCCCTTCCAAGGACAGCCTTCGAAGCACTTCTGTGTAGTATCACTACTGAAAACAGCTCATGTTTTATTGTACATTCCAGCTGTTTTCAACTTCCCATTTTGCAGTTCCCACTGCACAGAGATCAAAGACCCAATATTTCTTTTGTATGCATTCATGTAAACCAAGACTGACTTCAGTGAAGTTGGAATAATGACAGGTGTAAAACGAGGAGAAATGAAAGGAAAATCAGGCTATCAACTATTTTTTTTTAAAGCTCATGCATTACTAATACTTCCAATTTAAATGCAAATTTTTGTTCCTAACACAGACCTTTAGGGAAGTTCTCTCCAGATAAACTGTAATGGGATACCAAATGGTAATTCAATATTTAACTTGTATTTTAGCTCATGGGTCTTAATTTCCTATCATTTTGTTGCAACATTTGCTTATGGGAAAGAATTACATTGCTTGTAATAAGAATGATAATATTTAATTATATTTGTTCATTATATTTAATTTTTTTATATTCCAAACATCCATGCAAAGAGTGTATCTATTTCTATTTTGAGTGATGGAAATCAGCAAGGTGTGACTTCACATATTTCAAGAAGTAAATGAGACGCGTCTGAGAAAAGGCAGTATTGCTGTATGATGTGCGCATTCTTGGGGTGTTTTGCTGTCAAGCACTTGTGGTCACGTCAGTAAGGCTGTGAGCTGTTGCTGAAATCCCATGGAGTGGGGACTTGTGTTACTGATGGCCAGAGTTTTCCAGGAAGCTTCCATTTGACTCACTGTCTTTGGATAAAGGTATGGCTGTACTGCCCTTCTCACAACAAATTCACTGCCATCACCAGATCTGCTCCTCGGTAAGGAAGGACTTACCTCTTGTGAACTCTTTCCAACATGACCATTAGTTGACCCTCAGTATTCCCAAGTCCTCCATGGATCTCTTACAGATGTAGGAATAACCAGAGGGCCTGCTCATTCAATTAAGTCTTTCAAAATAATGACATGGTTTGCTTTTGCCACATATGATATGTATGAAGAAATTTCTTCTCTGTATATGCCTCACTCAAGCTCTGCTGAAGTGCAGCTTGTAAGATATGTATTCAACCTTCATGTAAGTTCTCTTATGCTGTAAGTACCTTAAATAACACAATGCAGTCATTTGAATGACTATAGGTCTACTAACGCAGTCTAACACATTTACTGAGGAGTAACCTGAGTTAGTGTTTTTGCAGCAGCTGATGGTATGAGGCGGCCAAATATAGCTGCAATTGGAGTCTGTTTGCTCATTTTACGGGCACATCAGTTGGCAGCAACCTTGGGTCTCATTTATTTTTAGCACTGCCAGTGGAAAAATAAACCTCACAACTGTCTGGAGATATAATCTTGATAAGGATTTTATAAATGTAATTTTAAGCTTCAGTTTTTTCTTAATGGTACTTTTTTATTATTATTATTATAATTATTATTATTATTATTTCTACACTCCTGACCAGTAACACTTCATAAGGTGACCGTAGAGCTATGACTCGATTATGTTCTTGTGTAACCCCCACTGCTCTCCCTTGAGTCACAACCACCTAGACCCATTGCCACTGAGATACACTGATTTTATGAACGGAACGCAATGCAAAATAGCAGAGCTATCCTGGAAGAGTTGGGTAGAATATTTTTATCACAGCTTGTTATCAGTAAACACAGTTCTTTTGGAACCAAAGCACTAAGCCAGACTTTACGTGAAAAAGGGTCTTATGCTGCAGGGATCTGGGGGGATTTTTTTTGCTGAATCACCTCTTTTCATCTAAATCAGCCCTTGAATTCTCATATGAGGAAAAAGAAAAAAAAAAGAAAAATCACTATCTTAAAGAAAGTTTTCAACAACTCAAAGAAAAATTACTTTCACTACAAAATTGTAAACATTCCAGGTCTTTTCGAGATTGAAATTTTATAAAAATTGCAAACTGAAATCCTTTTTTAACATCAGTTCTGTTACCTGTCAAAACTATAAGTAGTAATTACAAGACAGCAAAAACATTGTTTTCTTTGGAAAACATTTCAGAAAAATAAAATCAGTGAAAAAAGCTTTGTTATTATGGGCTTTCTCCAAGACAAAAGCTCTTGCTAGAACTTAACAAAGCATACTGAAAGCTATTAAAAAAGAAAAGGAAGGGATCAAGTATGAACTGGTAGAACTTTTCACTTTTTTGACCTTGTGAACTTCACATTATAGTGCCTGACAAAGTTAGAAGTTTTCCTGGAAGCAGTGTGTATGTACATCCTATTATCTTCTTTACTGGTTTAAACGTATTGCATAGAAAGCATGCATTTTTAATTGTGTTAGTGGAAAAGTTGTCTGGTTGTGAAATTAAGTAATTGGAATTTGTTCATTTGAGCAATGTGAATTACTTTTTCAATAGTCTTTGCATTTTTTACTTCAGCATTTCAAACTGATCCATGTGCAGAAAAGAATCTGAGAGAAAGCAAAAAATCTCCACCTAGTGGACAAGAAAACTTTTTAAAAAGGCAAATAAGATTTTCACTTCATTTTATGCATGAAGAAATACTGCTTTAATTTGGTTTCATTAAGCTGCCATGTTTTTCTGAGTTCTTGCTTTCTACAAAGCCATTATTTAAGATACAAAGCCAAAATGGTAAGAATTATTTATAGTCTTGAGTAAGAAGGAATAAATGATACAAAATGAGTGGGTTTATAAAAAAAAAAGGTAAAAGTTGACTCATAATGTTTTAGGATTCCCCTCTGTTCAAAATATACAGTAACCAAAAGTGATTGTCTGTCAACAAATATTTGAAACCAAATATCAAGATGAGTGGGTGTTTCCAGGCAGGATTTAGTACAGGAGTGTCTGGGGGTGTATTTTTACACAGGGAACTCTCCCCATGTGTTACTTCAGGTTCCTTAAATTATCTGCTTACCTTGGAGGTGCGAAATCTGGCTTTCCTGGCAACCTCACCTCCTGTGCAACTTGTAGCAAGGTACTGCCTTGTCAGCCTCTATTCTCTCTTCAAGAGGCAAACACCACAATTCCATTGTCCTGCCATTTGTCAAGGACCCTGTCTTGGCATTGTTATGTGTCCAAAATCATCCTGACAGGATATAGCAGATTTATTTTAGTTACATGTTTATTGAGAATAGTACTACTTGGGTTTTTTTTCCTTCTTAATCTAGTGTACTGCATTGCATTTATGCTGCAAACTACCAGGATACTCTCTCCTTCCAACCATATATAGCTAGCAGACAAAACCATTTCTTCGCTGTGTTTCAAGCTCAGAATTTGTGGGAGAAGGAATGAGCAGAGACAACTGCAGATTTAGCATGGCATACCAAATACATTCTATGTCCTGCCTTTTTTTCTGACTGCTCCTCATTTTTAAGGCATGTATCAACTCTCTCTGTGTAGTTCACAGCAACTGGTGGACATGTTCATTGCATGACTGCATTATGGGATATGAGTTTATTATAGCCCACCTTTGCACACTTCTTGATCACCACCTGGCATCTGTCGTTTGGTTTGTTTCACAAACTGAAAGAAAGGAAGGTCTTGGAGTTATTACTTTTCTAACTAATTTGTATTTACTACAGCTTTTTTTTTTTTTTTTTTTTTTTTGTAATCTAGATTAGATTTACTCAGCTTTTTTATGTGTGACTTCTTTGTGGGACTAGCAAATTCCTATTTATAAATGCTTTTGTTTCAACAATACCATTAAGCCTCTTTCTTTCTTTTTGTAGTTAACCAGGCGTTGAAGTTTGGAATGCTTGTCAGTACTTCCAATACCTATGACAACTCTGGGATTGTGACCATCAAGACGGACAAGCCTTTGCTGTGGACAATGGCAATCAAACTTTAAGATGAATTGCAGCTACCTTTTCTGATCCCACTGTATTTACTGCAAAATTTCACTGAATTCAGGTGTAAAACTGATCATAAGGGAATAAGTATGTACTACATAGGCAATAAATGGAAAACAGAAATAAAAGTCATTTAAGACCGAATTGAGCCTAGGAACAACAGATCAGCAGATGCACTGTCACCCTATATGATCACAAACAGAAGCTTATGTAAATAAATTGCTAACCTGGTTAGTTTTAACTGTTATTCCAATACTAAACTGTTTTTCCCCATTTTGCCAAATGCATACAGTCCTCAGTTGCACAGAGTAAATCTTCATTATGAAAAGCATAATTTTTTTCTGACCTTATTTCTAAAATATATAGTTGTTGGTGACATTTTCTCAAAAAGAATAATAGTTGAAACTTTCCACTTATAAAGCAAGTTTGTCTATTGAAGGAGCTTTTGCTGTAACTCCAACATCAGACTTCATAACATTGTGACAAACTGATAACAACTGATAACAACTGATTTTAAAGTCTGCAATGCAAAATAGCACTGTCACTTTTACAGTTACTGAATCTTTCTGCTAAGTCTTTGGAGTGAAATACAAATTTCTTGCTCTCAATCCGCAGACCAAGAGCAGTTTCTGCAGTTTATAAATCAAAGTATTCAGTCATTCAGTACTTGAAATGCATCAATACATGCAGAGGCCTTTATAATTCTGTATGTAGATGCCTTACAGAACCAGTATCCAGTCAGAAGGTTATGCTTCCTTTCCAGCAATCTGAATAAGTTTTTTGTTGATTCTCTGAAGAACTGTTTACTATCTCTGAAAACTAACTTAACCTCAAACTGTACATCTTAGTAACCAAGTTTTCTTTCCTTAATTTTGCTATCAGAGTAAAGATAAGCAATGCAAGTCCTTTTTTTTTTTCTATTCTCATTTTTTTCCTGTTAAGTACATAGTATAATATCAGTTGCAATTGCAGAAATGAATTAGAGGTAGTGATGATTCCAGAAATTAATTACAACAATTCCAATCAATAGACTTCTAACTCATCACTCACAATAATGATGTCTTCTCACTGCCTACTTTTGCATTGGAACAAGTTCTGAAAAGAGACTGTAAATTCTCCACCGTTAGAGTTTTTAAGGTCTGAACAGAACAAACCTCTGAGCATTCTCGTCAGAATGTAGTACTGACCCAGCTTTGAGCATGAGGTTGGACTGGGGATGTCTCAAGGTTCCTTCATACTTGAATTATTCTATCACAGTAGGAAAAATAAGAAGAAACTCTACTATTTAAAACGAAAGTGTTGTAATGTAGATAGATATGATTGTGTATCTTTTGAAGGAGAAATAACATATCAGAAAAATCTGAAAACCCAACCTGACTTTGCAGACTATCCAACAAAAAAACAAATTGCAATTTGTGATTTTTTTTTTCAGTGAATGTCACGATGTCTCATTCATCATGATGAGCATTCAGCTGCCTCCGCTGAGAGGACGGAGTAATCAGTTTCCATTAACCAAGCATCATCAATGATCCTATATGAAGTCTGATTTATCTTCCCAACATTGCCTAGTTAGGAAGAATATTACTAACATTACAACATATATCCTGTTTTTAAATATTTAACTTAACTTAGAGGACAGCATTTAGAGGCATAAGTTAGCTATGTTTAGTGGTCACATAACAGTATTTTACCTGTCTACATGGATAAGCATACACTAAAGAACTGGAAATCAAAATATTTTACATTCAGTTTTGAAGCAGATACTTGAAAAGAAACTTAACAACTAAGGATCTAATATTTTGCAGCATGCTGAGATGTGAATCCAAAACTAATTATCTATTTACAGACGAAGTTATTTGAATATTTACCAGTATTTTTCATGTTACACTAAAATATGGAATGCACAGATACTAAAGCAGGGACCCTTTGACACGGTCCCCTTTGACAAAGACCCTCTGATGTGGTCCCCCACCACATCATTATCTCCAAATTGGAGGGATGTGGATTTGATGGGTGGACCACTGGATAAGGAATTGGTTAAAAGGCCACAGACAGAGGGTGGTCATCAATGGCTCTGTGTCCAGGTGGAGGCCGGTAATGAGCGGCTTCCCCCAGGGCTCTGTCTTGGGACCGGTGCTCTTTAACATCTTCATCAATAACAGCAATGACAGAATCGAGTGCAGCCTCAGCAAGTTTGCTGATGACATGAAGCTGAATGGTTGCGGTTGACACAGTGGAAGGAAGGGATGCCATTCAGAGGGACCTCGAGAGGCTGGAAAGCTGGGCCTGGGTGAACCTGATGAGGTTCAACACAGCAATTTTTGTTCAAGGTTTGGCACTTGGGCTGGAGGAATCCCAGGCATCCATACAGACTGGAAGGAGCGGTCCTTGAGAGCAGCCCTGCAGAGAAGGACCTTGAGGTATTCATAGATGAAAAATTGAACATAAGCCAGCAGTGTCCTCTTGTAGCTCGAAAAACAAATGGTATCCTGGGCTCCATCAGAAGAGAGGTGGCCAGCAGGAACAGGGAGGTGATTGTCCCCCTCTACTGTGCTCTTGTGAAGCCCCATCTGCAGTACTGTGTCCAGGTGTGGAGCCCCCAGTACAAGAAAGACAGAGAGCTATTGGAAAGGGTCCAGAGGAGAGCCACAAAGATGATCAGGGTACTGGAGCACCTCCGCTACAAAGACAGGCTGAGGGAGCTGGGCTTGTTCAGCCTGGAGAAAAGAAGGCTGCGGGGTGACCTCACTGTAGCTTTCAGTGCCTAAAGGGAGCCTACAAACAGGAGGGGAATCAACTCTTTGAAAGGGTTGATTACTGCAGGACAAAGGGAAATGGTTTGAAGTTGAGGGAGGGGAGATTTATGTTGGATGTCGGGGAAATTCTTTACAGAGAGAGTGGTGAGGTGCTGGAACAGCTGCCCAGAGAGGTTGTGGATGCCTCGTCCATCCCTGGAGGTGTTCAAGACCAGGTTGGAGGGGGCCCTGGGCAGGCTGGTCTAGTATTGGTTGGAGATTCATGATCCTTGAGGTCCCTTCCAACCCTGGCCATTCTGTGATTCTGTGATTCTGTAAAGCAACCTATATCCTGTAAAGCAGGCAGTCTGCAGTCTGCAAACCACATGCAACGTGGCACAGTTCCCCACCAAATGGTCCAGCCTGGACCCAGAGGTACACCCATTGGTTGGCAACAATCTAACCATCAGTCTGTGACAGACACTGTCTGGGTCAAAATCAAAGGAAGGCAAGGGCACAGTACAGTTCTGACTCTTCCTCTTGTGTCCATCACACACTCAATTGCATCGAAAGCCACATGCATTACATATGGCATGTGTTTGTGCCAACTTGAGTGAAAAACAGTGATTGCCAATACTAATTTTTTAACCTACCTGATGGCCTATTAGAAGAAAACAAAATTGCCCCCACCACCCCCCCCAAAAAAGCAACAAACATGGATGAAGAAAGAAAAAAGGAAAGATGAGTACTTTTTGTCAAGACAGATAATATAATACTATGCTTATTTTTAAGGAAACAGTTTTCAAAGATTGTAATTTGAAAGACATTATATGCAGAAAAGTGCTGCCAAATTCGATGTGTATCAGGAAATGCTTTGTAAAGACAGAATAGCGGAACTGAAAAAAATTTGTCACCTCAGCAAAATATTTTTTAAAAAGCTAAAATTCAAACAGACTCTGTTACAAAAGCCAATTATGTGATAGTGTCACAGAGTTATCTTGATCAATCTGTGCCCATGATAGGGAGCAGCACACCTGCAGGCCCACTGCCTCTCTCCCCCCCAAAAAAGAGCAATGGCAATGATCTAAGAGGGAAACTTAATTTTACTAAATATGATATCAGAATGCAAGATAACACAATATAATACAATACAATTGGAACTGAAACAGGAGTTCATTAGAAGTATGGATGCTGATTATGGGGACATCATTTACTTTTCTGAAAGAAGGTGGCTACGCTGGGATAAAATGCAAAGAAGATGTTATGATTTGCGAAATGAAATCAAGTCATTTATGGAATTAAAAGAAAAATTGCTCCTAAAGGTGAAGATGAGAAATGGCTTATATAGTTAGCCTTTTTGGTGGATTCGGCAGCTCATGTAAATGAGTTGAACATGCATCTTCAAGATCAAAAATCACCTGATCTGTGCCATGTTTCAAACCATAACAAAATGGAAAAAAAAAAATGTAATGAAACTTAAATTATGGCAAGCTCAACTTATGGAAAATCATGTATTTGATACATGAATCAAAATTCATGTATTTTGATATGCTGGCTAAACAGAGTCCAGTGAGCAGTGAAAAATACACACCCTTGTTTTCATTTCTGATAAAGAAATTTGAGAATAGGCTTCAAGACTTAAAAATATCTTTTTTTTTTTTTTTTTTTTTTGCGTAGTTTTGCTTTTATTTAATGTCAATATGAATACTTCAGATGCAAATTTTCCCTTGAATATATAGAGTTACAATTAGACATTCAACAAAAATAAATATTTGATTATGTTTCTATTCTAGACTTTTTGTAAGACCTGTCTCACCAGAGAAAAATATCCCTTGCTTCACAATCATTATTGTCATTATTACTTTATTATTGTCATTACTTTTTGGCAGTAGGTGCATTTGTGAACAACCTCTTTTCAAAGATGAATCATTCAATGTCAAAACTTGTCAAAATTCAAGCTTCATATTTATTTACACAATAATAGTATTGGAATATGGATCAAAGAAATGAATAAGTGTCATTCTTGCAAAACCTGTGGCTGTTTCCATTGCACTCTTCTGGAAATCTGCAAAAACAGAAATGAAATGCAGCAAGATTCATGTGTTGCATACAGGAGGTGTTCGCTGCAGTGAAGGTGGGAGAGAACTGTCATTAGAAAACTGTAATGTTAATCCACAAGGCAGATCAAGAACCAAACAGCACCAAAGCTGAGAAACAAAGGTGTTTTTTCATAAAACAGATAAGATTTTAAGAGAAGATGCTGCTTTCCACAAAGCATAGAATTTTTTAATTCTTTTAAGTTCTTTTTTTTTTTTTTTTTTTTTTTTTTTAATTAGTAAGCAAAATTGGATATATCCACAGCCCATAACAGTTCATGGAATTCCTTTGTTGTTCTTTCATACCCCTACAAGGCTTGGCAATAATGCCCAATCCATAAACAAATATGGAAAAGCTGCAGTTAGATTTGTCACAGGAAGCAACCTTCTGAAGTCCCTGCAACATTATAGTACATAAGTGCTGTTTCCAGTTATTTAAAGACACAAGTTGTAAAGTGAACGAAGGAGGTAGGAGCTCCTGAAAACCCTGCCAACTGAAAATGAAGTTCCTTACTGATCATATCTTAACTACTACCTATAAAAACCACCACTAACTGGCAGATTACATTGTGGGAAAGGTGTTACAGCCATCAGAACAATCAGAACAGCCTTCATGTCTTTTATTTCCTATCAGCCAACGCTTCTCTCTCCCTGCCCTGGTTCCCCATTGGCTGAGTACTGCAGGCTCACAAATTTCCCAGCATTCCACTAAACATACAGATACTGGCTAAAGATGAACTGTTGCTAGCTAAGCGTATATTGCTAATTCTCACATTTGTTCATTCTGCACTAGGCCATTATTCCTGGACACCCTGCTGTCCTAGGATAGAGGTAAATTGGAAGGAAAAACGTAGGGGAGCATAACTTGCATTCCTCCTAATCCAAAAGAGGGACAGTTTGACCTCTTGTCAGAGGCCCCTTAAGTTGTTCTTTTGCTGAGGGCCTCTTGGCAAAACAGAATAGGAGGCGGCAGCCTACACAATTAGAGCAAGTTGCTTGGTTTCAGAAACTCTCATTTTATTTGATCTTTTAGCTTCAATTCCAATCGTATTATATTTATTATCTCACATT